TTACATTTGATTACATCTTGTAACCTCACCACGTTTTTATTTTATTCTCACATTTCCCGCTCAGTCACGAATAGTCACGAAAAACTGAATTTGATGATTAGCCACTAGCACTAAAATTTAGGTTCGGGGATTCACGATTGGAATCCGAGTTCAGATTTAATATTGAAGACCAGACTTAAGATCTGAAGAAGGGCTATGAATTCGGACCTAAAATATTATGTATATTAATTATTATGTATGTAAATATTATTTTAAATATCTATAGCATATATTCGATACAAGAAAATAAAAATTATAATTTTAATAGTTACCTTAAATATTCATCTTTTAGTACTTTCTACATGACAAGATGACTCTAACTGTTTCAGGAATAAAACGTGAAATAAAATACAAGCCGGTACTCTTGTTGCGAATTCCATGCTGTGAAAAGATTCTCCAGTAGCTAAGAATCTTAGAGTCAAGGATAATCTTTGAATTGCAGAATGCATTTTTGCATAACTATATCTTGTCTTTGAATATATAGAGATATTTTATCCAATAGATTGTTGAATAATTGAAAATCCATTTTGAAGGATCTACAAAAAGATTCTATATCTTCATAGATAAGTTCATTGAGTGCTAAATGAACAGATCCTCTTAATTCGAATTTTCTTTGTGTGGGTGAAGGAATGGTTCGGTATTAACTGTGACTCGGTTGGCGCGGACACTTGTACTTTATTCGTTAGACAGAAGTCGAAAGCGTGGTGCATTCGAGTCGACAAGTAAAATATGACTGACTCTTCTCGAGATTCTTGCGCGGTTCCTCGCGCATCACACGCGAGCTTCCTTTGTTTCGAAAAAGCTCCAGGCGTACCCGATTCGAGGAATAAACAAAAGATAAACCGAGTTACGGTGACAAAAGACGGAAGAAAAAATATAGAGTAAGCCAAACAGAAACTCTACACTGAGGGCGACGCCGCGCACGTGTCGCTACACTTTGTATAATCCATTCTTTTGTCCACCACCTCTGATGTCGGATTTATAATTGTAGTCTCTGTTTATATTTCTTGCTCTTCTTGTTGTTCCACATACATAACAAAAGTTGCAAGAACCAGCAACCTATTCAATTTTATCTTTCTTGTTGAATTATTTATGTTCCAATTAACACTGTGACTAGATTAGGTTATGTACATTAGTTCTTTTCAATTAAAAGCAGTTTGTATTTTAATTTCACTTATATCAATAATTTTTAATAGTTAAGAAAATATATTTAGCTTTGTCTATTATATTTCCTGAATAATCAAAATAAATTAAAATTTACTCTGACCTGAAGAAGCATTGATACTGGATATGATCTTTTCATGCATCTTTCATTCTAATTATTTAACTAAATGATTTCAAACTTTTGTTGTATCAAACAGAACAAACTTATTATATTTACTTTAAAATATTATTTTTATTTTAATGTATTTAAAAAATTAGAATTTTTTATTTATTTAATATCTTAATATTAATATAAATTACAACTTTTTCTTCAGTTGGAGAATGGCCGCGTCTCCAATCAATGGAATTATTAAGTAAATTCCTTGAAAAAAGGGAAGTATTTAAAGCACGTCCGAACAGAACGATCCCTCGAGATTTATAATATTTATATAAATTACGGACTTACAGCAGCTAACATCACATATTTGAATAACGCTATCTATAGTTATTAAAGTACAACTATTTCTATTCTAGTACTTTGGATCGAGAACTCGGATTTCTGAAGTCGGGTTTACATCTTGACGGAAAAACGGAAAGCGGAAGTCAATCAGAACTCGCGGAAAGACAAAAGCAGACAAGCGAAATGTACTGCCTATTACTTTTGCGACTTCTGCTTTTTCGCTTTCCGTTTTTCCGTCAAGATGTGAATCCGGCCTAAGGGCTATGGCACATAAAAAAACTTAAGCGGTAAAACGTAAGCAATAAGCAAATTGATCAATCACAGTAGAGTCCATAAGGCCATAACATAAATAGTAGCCAACTCAACATGTTGATTTCCTTACTGCTTACGTCTTATTACCTTAAATTTTTTGTGTACCATCTCATCTGTACTCTAATGCATGGTCTACAATGGACAGTGGCAGTAATAGATTAAGAAGTAGCCGTAGAAATCGACCAATGATAGTTAATTATCCTTCTCACATTCGACTATGATTTGTTGATTTCCTACTCTTTAATCCATTACTGTGACGTTTTTGTATGTGTCATGAGCTTAACATTATGGACACAAGACTTCCTAAGTCGGATCTATAATAGGTTTTAAGCTTTAAGAAATTGACCAACAACAGTCAAATGCGAGGAAAAGAAGTGATTGTGATTCGTCCATTCTTTATGACTTAAGCCTTAAAAATATATTATAAATCCGGAATATAATTGATCAAATTTGTATGGCTTAAGACTTAAAACACTTATTGTAGATCCGGATTAATAAAAGAGAAAGAGACCGAAAAGAGAGTCTCTAACTAGAGTCTCTGTTTTCCGTGTTTCAACTCTCATTAGCATGGATCTGCAATGGATTTTAAGCCTAAATCATAAGAAATGAACGAATCGCAATCGATTATTCTTCTCGCATTCGTTTGTAGTTGGTCAATTTCTTACGGTTTAAGATTTAAAACACTTATTGTAGATTCGAACCGGGCTTAGAGCGGAATCCATAGACGTTTCTCAAGATTCGAGATGGTCTTAAGCTAGTGCATGAACCAATTACAGAGTCATATTAGCATCTTAAAACAATGGCATAGTTTCCATTGAGGATTTAATTCAGATCAGAATGTAAAATCAACCAGCTACAATCGAGTACTCCTCTGTTACAGTCGAATGACAGGGGAATGCTCGACTGTAATTGGTTGGTTCTTACATTCTGATCCGGATTAAATCCTCAGTGGAAACTGAGCCATTGCTGGAGATTAAGGACTATGAATTCCGGCCTTAAGCGTCCACAATGCTAGAAATCGGTCCGAAACCTCGGATGAAGAAAGAATTGACCAATCGCAATGATCATGTGATTAAATTATTCGAATGTAATTTGTTAATTTTTTCTCTGTCCGAGATCTTGAACCGACTTCTAGCATCGTGAACATCGGACTTTAGAAGGTCTCTAAATCTTAAGCTAGTGCTTGAGATGTCATGAACCAATCAGAGAGCTGTATTAGCATCTTAAGACATTGTTTAAGATTGGCTGCGTTCAGCAGAACGTTTATTTTGTAACTGTTAGAAGTTTTTTTCACACTGATTGGGTTATGCTTTTAGATCAAGAGGAATGGTCTTATCTTAGCAAAGAATCATAAAACGATTGCAAAAGTGTTGCGTTCTGCTGAACGCAGTCATTGTCTTCATTAAGAACGAATTAATTTTGGCCCTAATTACTTCAATACTAATAAGGATGCGAATTCCCATAAGGATGTCGATCTTTAATTGTGAGTGCATTCATTGGATGCATCCAGAAGCACGACCGCTCACTGAGCGCTCAGTGAGCGGTCGTCGTATTGAATGCACCCAGTAAATTTTTTCTTTTTAGTTGAATTTTTGCATCAGTTTTGCATCTTCTTTCCTTTTCTCTTTAGGAAAGGAGGAAAGAATAAAAAAGAAGATACTGATGCCAAAGTTCTGCCAAAAAAAAAAACAAATCCATCCAGTATTTCGTCGGTGCCTGTGCTTTTCATTGGGCGCGTTCAAGTCGACAAAGCGACTAGATCTGCTTGCCAAGCAATTAAACATGATTAGTTAGATCCACAGGTAAGAACCAATTATGCTCATTCGCTCGACAAGCATGCCTAGCTGTTTTGCCGTCTTGTACTCGCTCATTGCGTTTTCAGCTTTATACTGTGATGTGGATTTTTTTATGTTTGTTTTACAATGGATTTCCATTTGATAACATAAATCAACACAAGTGTCGTTCTATCTATAAGAGCTTTCCAACAGAAGCACAAATCGATACAAGAATCAAAGATAAAATTATTCTTGTTGTTTCTTACTGATTATTGAATAAGGACAGGATGACTTGTCAATTTGTGTCAATTTGTGTCTCTTGTTAAAAAGCTCCGTTTGTCACTCTAAATGTTAACAAGGATAGAACGGATACTTGTGTCGACTTGTGTCATGAAATGAAAAGCACCGATTAGGATCGCAAATCATAAATCGTAAGAAATTGACCAATCGCAGTTGAATATGACAAAATAATCAACTATGATTGGTTAATTTCGTACGGCTTGCGATCCTATTGTAGAATGGGCTTTAACGATGACATGTTAGGGGGACATGTTAGGTTGGAGACAGGGTTAGGCTGCATTTTCATGCTGACACTCGATACTCAATTTGAGCGTCAAACAGGTCACATGATCAAAATTGACGAATACCAAGCGTTGTTTTTGATCACGTGACATCTAATCGAGCGTCGAGCGTTAGCATAAAAATGCAGCCTTATTGGAAAGTCAAAGAGGTTGCGAGGCAATCCGAGGCCTGCCGAAGTGCCGATTGCCGAAGCGCTTGCGTGACGTCAAGTTGGAGCAGAAGAGATAAGAGAACGGTCATAGGAAGAAAGTTCTGTTTCCTGGTGTGTCTCTCGGTGCTGTAGAAGATTGTCTGCTCGTTTCGTCAATCTCGCGTATCGCCGAAATGTCGTACGCGTACCTGTTCAAGTATATTATTATCGGAGACACAGGTAAATAATGTGATGCGGTAGATACGCGCGGGATACCACCGCAAAAAAAACTGGATCTTCACTCTCCTCTCCCTTCCTATGAATCTTTTACGTCGTCCGTGACAGGTCCTTTGTTTTCGTTTCCGTGATGCGCGACAATATTACTGATTCGTAAATGCAAGAATAACTTTGTTTTACGGAGGCAGCCATCGACAAAGAAATTTCCTTAACACACGTTTATTTCCTTTAAATATATTCCTCGCGTGTCAGCATATTTGTTGCGATGGATTTTAAGTATATTGTCTCGTATCATATTGCTACTTGATTTATTGTATTTGTTGTTTTATGACTATCAAGTACAATTTTGTGCAACTTGACGAACTTTCCTATCGCAAATTTCCACGTTAACATTTATATATAGCTTGTTATTCATTGTGGCCTGTATCACCGACAAGATATTATTAAAGACGATTGGCACTTATGAAAGTTCGTGTGTCTGTTAAAATTTAAGTGATTAAGGGCCATTGTTCCACCTTTTGATAAATTTTATCTATTGGATAAGTAGCAAGATTACCCAATCACATGTGTGGATTGCTAGATTTATCTAATAGGTAAAATTTATCAAAAGGTGAAACAACCGGGCATAAAAGTAAGAATTTAATAATACAGTACTAATATCGTGATTTATTAGTTTTGTAGACATATATATATGTTTAAAACTTAATAATACTCGATTTTTATTTAAAACTGTGATTTCAATGTTATCCAAGTTTGATTATCAATAGAGATGTTAACTGCAGAAAAAGAATTGTAATTTTTTGGCAATATATAAGATATTATAACATTAAAAAAATATGCATACTTATTTATACAGCACTTACGTAAAGAATACAAATTTAATGTATTGTCGAAATATTTGTTAATAATAAAAAAAATTTTTTTATTAATTGTCAGTAACATCATTGTTCTTTAATCATCCCTGGATCCCCCAGGCTCTATTGATAGTCATTAAAATTTATCGACGGTCTTTAATAGTAACTCTTCATTGCTTATATTCAGAATGCACTTACAATACTATATATTATGCATATAGAATTTCAGGGATAAAAGCACATTTCATGTACAGACCTATATGTTTTATAATAGAATTATTTCTGCTGCTAAATACCTTTTGCATATATTTTGTATAATGTCTATTATCACTTGTAAAAGTATGTTTCAATTTTGTTTCCATAGTTAAATTCATAAATTATTGTAAATATGTGTTACTATGTTAAATACTAGAAAATTAAAAAATTATATAGTACAATATATTACAAATATATTATACAAAAACTTGTAAATGTTGCAGTAAAATAACGATCCATATTCAGAATATACTTTTATCAATAAAAGCGTGCTTTTATCTCTAAAAATCTATAATATGTGTGACTAATAATATGTTAACGCACTAACATTGTTGTAAGTGTATTTTCTGAATACAGGCCAATGTATAGGGAAATTTTATATTTAATTTGAATACATTTGAGATTTTATTACAACTTACTAATTAACAATTATTATAATATATAAATACAATGATATTTTTATATAGGAGTTGGAAAGTCTTGTCTTCTTCTTCAATTTACGGATAAAAGATTTCAGCCAGTCCACGACTTGACAATAGGAGTTGAGTTTGGTGCTCGTATGATTACCATTGATAGCAAGCAAATTAAACTGCAGATATGGGACACTGTAATATTATTTAATTCATATTATATTGTTGAATTCAAGCTTCATATTATCGATATTTGCTACTAATAGAATCATGATTCTCTCAATCAGTATAAATACTTGTATTAATAATGATATTTAAATTAATACTGTTTATAAAGAAATTTATATAGCTTTAAATTTTTATTCTATTAAACTCATTTGAAAAGATACTTTCAATCATTCTGTAAAAAATTATATTTTTTTTATTTTAATATTTACTAGATATATTCTGATAATTATATGCTTTCTTTTTTAATTTTCTATAATTAATAGGAATTTATTATTATTAATTATTTTCTTAATTTAAACATTTTTAGGCAGGCCAAGAGGCATTTCGTTCTATAACAAGGTCATATTATCGTGGAGCAGCTGGAGCTTTGTTGGTATATGACATTACACGTAGAGAAACTTTTAATCATCTTACAACATGGCTGGAGGACGCAAGGCAACATTCAAATTCTAATATGGTTATCATGTTAATCGGCAACAAAAGTGATCTAGATAGTCGAAGAGAAGTAAGGAGAGAAGAAGGTGAGGCTTTTGCACGGGAGCATGGTCTTGTCTTTATGGAGACCAGTGCCAAGACTGCAGCCAATGTAGAAGAAGCGTTCATCAATACGGCAAAAGAAATTTATGAAAAAATACAGGAGGGTGTCTTTGACATTAATAATGAGGTATAATACTAATTCTTTTAATTAATCTACATGTACTTTAAATATGAGTAGTGAACAAAATCTTTCCATGATTTTATACTTTATCATTTTTTTTAATATGCAAATAAGTTTATTACTGTTTATCTCATATCACTGAAAGAAGATAAGAAATAACAGATAAATAAGCAGTGACAACATATAGTTACATATTTATTTTTTTTTATATTGCATATTTGCATTGTAAATTGCATACAGGCAAACGGCATTAAGATTGGACCACAACATTCGCCAACAAGTCCTGGAGGTTTAGCAGGAACTGGTGGACAAGGCAATGCGCAGGGTGGTGGGTGTTGCTAGGGGCTGGGGCTTATCTGTCCACCGCTTCATCCTTCTCCGATCTGAATTGACCCAACTTCTGTTCATTTTAATCAGAACACACTTACTTTGTACAACTTAATTTTGCGCATATCGCGTCATGAGGTAACAAGTGACAATTAATGTATTTATTAGTTAAAATAATCTTATACACGTAATAAATAGGATTATTGTAAGACGAAAATGTTATACATCACTAAAATCATAAGGCATTAATAAAGTTTTTGTTTACAAATTCTTCTAAAATATATAAATGAAGTTATATCATTTTTTAATGTATTTGTGGTAGATTTAATTCAAAAGTAACAGATATTTTCCAGCTTATACTAATATATTATACATATACAATTATTATTTATATTTAATCATTATATATATAATATTTTTGTTCTTGCACATCATGTAATAGTTTTACTTTCTATGTATAATGAGATATTATTTTAAATCGATACCTATGAGGTTTCATTAATTTTTGTAAAAATTTTTAAATTTATTTAAGTATGCATATAGTATAATTTAGCTTTAATTATATCTAAATTTAGCTTTAGCTCTTGTCTCCCACTTTATGCAGCATGTGAAATAATATTGTATTAATTTATTGATAAAGCGGGAGAGGACAGGTTCTTGATTTAATGTTTTATATTTGTTTAATATGTATTATGTACTGTAATGTAATGTGCACTAATGATCAAAATTCCATTCTGATAGTGGCTCATGGACGCTGATGTATCAGTTAAACTGATTTGACGTTATTTACACCTAAAACAATTATATAAATATGTATGTATTGATGTATAAGATGATAATTATATAAAACATATATTAATCAATGCCATCAAAAGGCCTATTTAACCAGATTTATATTCTATAATATTATAATTACCAAAAGATCTCATATTGCACATATTGGCTATTGATATCGTTACGGCTTTTTTGGAAGATGAAGACATTATTACTGCTATGAGCAAATTAAAAAAAGACATTTTTACAATTTATATATATTGTAACAAATCTATATTATATCGAAATCTACTTAGTATTTAATATGTAGCACATTAAACATTTACGTTATTGATCATAGAAAAGGATATCAATAAAAATATGTATGGCAGTAATAATTATCTGTACTTTCTCAAAATCTGAAAACAATTCCGTTTGAATTCCTGTCTTTATTTCATAAGAATAATTATGAATATTTCCAAAATCTGAACAGAGACATGAGACACAGATATATTCAAATACATGAATTAAGGATAAGTTTTAATAGTGCACGTTATTATTCATTGAAAGATTTGTAAACTGGGAAAGAAAACAAAATTATACATTAATATTTCTCGATGAAATTATGACGACATGCATTTATAATTATTTTATACATCTAATTAGTACAAATTGGCTTCTCTGAGCATTATTATAATCAAATGTTATTTATATCTTAAATTATGAACTTATAGCTAATTGTTATGCCAAAGAATATGTCAGCATTATATCTCTTTTGCGCTTGTATACTATAATGATGAAATAATTACATCGACTTTAAGAAATTATATTCAGTATATTTAATTTATAATATAATCTAGCTATTATTCTACGCAGTCAAAACTAATTTACGATGTATTTGTATGTATGCATTGGGTATATCTTTTTAGTTGAAAAATATATATGTGCACATTACTTATTGTCTCTGTTCCTACGATACATCATATAATGTAATTTGAGTTGCGTTTTTTTTTAGAAATCTGTGAGATGATTGATAAAACTATCAATCAGCATAATTACGCTGTAAAAGATAAGCCTAAAAGTTATAACTGAACTCAAAGTCAAATATAAATGATTTATTTTTTATTTAATCATACAAGATTTAATTTAGTATTGTCCTGTTCGATAATTGTATTTGTACAGACATTTTTTAGCATGATCTTTTTACGTAATTATAAATTTGTCACTTGCAAACAAATGTACTTATACTAAACATCTTAATTTTAGTAGAAATATACAAATTGTTTACAGATTGTCTCATATGTCCGGAGTTTGAACGTAATATACACATATATTTAAAAAAATTTGATTAAATGATTAAAATAAAATTTTTGTAGTATGTTTATAATGTAAATTATAAATTGAGATGCGATAATCTCAGTCTGCCGCAACTCGCCGGTTTACGTAAAGGACTACGGCAGTGTCTCGGCGCTCATTTGACCATGTTCCATTAGACCGTCCCAATTGATCACGAGTTGCAAATGATCACGTTTCTATTGACCACAAGTTGCAAATGACTACGTTGCAAATGACCACGTTGCGATTGACCACTAGTAGCAAATGGCCACGTTTCGATTGATCAAGTAATACAAATGGGTACATAATAACCTAACCTTAACTTAATCATATACTATGAGTATATAATAACCTAACTCTCCTTTTTTTGTTTTCGAGAGAAGAATTTTCACATAGCCCGTCATCCGGGATGCTCTCAAAGAGAGAACTTAACCGGATAACGGGAAGACATCCAAGAGCCGGTCCCCTGTATGTGCGGGATTCGATTGGTCCGCGTCCAATAGAGAAGGACAACAGACACCATCCCCTACCTCGCTAAAAATCTCTCCCTATACCAGCATCATCGTAAGACTAATTGGGAACACCCCGGGAGCACCCCCGCCAAGCATTTCATCAGAGTACCCCCAAGTCACGGAGCATGAGCTCCCACATCTGCTATCTGGTATCCTAACTTAAAAACTAGACTTATACCTAATTATGCATCTTATTTACATGTCTCCGCTGTTTAACCATTGGAACCCAAAGAAGCGAGGCGAGCATCACCCGCGGCCTCTCCAGAGCCCGACGCTCACGTTCCGCCTACTCCTTCTTCCTCATCACAGCTTCACAGAAATCCGCGAGAACCGTCCAGGACTGCGAGGAGTCCAGAGCAGCTCTAATAACGGCGCCATAGGTTTTACTAGGCGCATCCAGTCCTAGGGCGTCGAACAGCGCCGGTCCTCTCAAGAGGGATAGAACAATAGTGTGTGGACCGCCTCCTTCCCCCCCCCCTCCCACAATGGGCGCACACCGGCGAACCGAAGCGTCCTATTTCATACAGGTAAGCCTCTAAGCACCAATAACCCGTGATGACCTGAATCATGCGGTACGTGAGGCCCCGTGTGCACGAGCCACCCAGTGCATACGGGCAGGCAGTCGCCTATGCGGTCACTCAGAGCTTCCCTGATTGCCGTACCAGGAGTCTCCGGAAGGAAGCTAAACCAAATAATTTCTCCATCTTTCCACGGAGCGGCGGAACTCCATCCTCGAATAAGGTTCTGAGCCCTCGGCGTAATAAATCCGTCTCTACAGATGATTTCTCTCCTACGCAAGTACGTGTTCCTCAAGCGATCTATCACAAACCTGAACGGCACCGATCTCGCTAGGCTATAGCCTTATGGGAGACGGTGCAGTAGGCTCTTATCATCCTGAGCGACTGCCGCCGCTGAAACTACTTCACCAGATGACGTAGACCGCCGACATGACTATCGAGGCGTAGACACGATGCTTACCCTCTTCCGGTCCACCGATATTGGCAACCTTGCCAATAGCGGCCGCCATCCTTCGGGCCTTAGGGAGGAGAAGGCGAAAGTGATCCTGAAAAGTCCACCTCGAATCCAGAAATAATCCCAGGTATTTCAAGGTAGACCTCACTGGGATTACCGCCTCTTCACCCCCCCCCCCATCGAAGGGACGTTTCCGGGACCTCGTTGGCATAAAAGCGACCACTTTTGTTTTGTCGACTGACTATTAGGTCTAGTTCCTCGACGGCTTGAGCAATCACAGCCACTCCCAGTTCTGCGCGAATCCGAGTCTCCTCAAACGAGGGGTCCGTTACCACGATAAGGGTATCATCGGCGGACATATGGTGGAGCAGCCCAGCAGCCCCAACCGCAACACAGAGTTGTATCCAATGTTCCACAAACAGAGTATCTACAGAGTAGTAACTACGTTCCTGCGGAACGCCATACGTCATAAGTGCCCTCATGAGAGAGTCATCGTGGTTGACGTAACAGAGCGATCTGTCGGACAGGTAATCGTCCAAGCACTCGCCTGAGATACCCCGGAACTCCCTTGGTCTTCAGGGCCGAGAAGATCACAAGCCACGGAAGGGAGTTAAATTGGCGATGTCCAGAGACAAGTGAGTCTCGATTGCGCATATTATCGATCGGACGGCAGTATTTCCCAATCGGACACGTACCTAATTGTACAAGGATCCGATCTGACACTGACGCGATCGGACACAGAC